TTTGTTTTTTTGGTTTTTTGGTTTTTTGTTTTTTGGTCTAGCCAAATGTTGCGCAACATTTGGGAATTGTTGCGCAACATTTGGGAATTGTTGCGCAACATTTGGGAATTGTTGCGCAACATTTGGGGATCGTTGGGCGACAATCGGGAATTGTTGCGCAACATTTGCGGAGGGCGGCTTGACGCTACGCCGACTCGCAAGCCGTCGCTTCCCATAGCCATTTGGTTGCTCCAATTTGATTGCCCGAAGCATTCCGAGTTCATATCCGTCAAATGTCGCCCAGGTACATCTTGCAGATTGCGGGGCAGCTGCAGGTGGACCACTCCGAGGTGTCCATCCGATTCCCGGTCCATCAGCCTCAATATGCAGAAGCTCCGCCGCCTTCAGCCTCTACATCTCCACCAAAGGCAAAGGCCATCATTCAAAAGATCAAGGCCGGCATGCAGGAGGTGCGCGAGACAAAGTGCGATGTGACGGCCCAAGAGATTAGCCAACGCGTGCACTCCATCCAGGCGGCCTTGGGCATCAAAAGGGGGCAGGGCGGGGAGTGGAATGAGATCGCCCAGCAGCGCATCGAGACATGGCTGCTCACCGCCCGGCGCCGGACGTTGCAATCGAATGTTCCGCAGCTTGCCTTGGAGGACAAGTCGGGCTCCCCCAAGAGGAAGAAGGTCAAGTCATCCAGTTCCGGTTCGCAATCCTCATTTTCTGGGTCTTCCTCGTCCTCGGTAAGGCAAGCAAGCCTGGCAGCACGGCGGTGTCGCTGGAGAACGCGGAGTTGGAGACCAAGGTGGCCGATTTGGAGGCGGGAATGCCAAGCTTAAGGCCCAGCTGTGTACCTTGAGTGCAAAGAACTGATGTACAGGCAGTTGCTACGTAACGCCCAGAAGCCGGAAAAAAAGCGTACGCAGAGCGTTATCTTGTGACCATGCTTGCCTGTGTGCTTGCGTGATGCCGCACTTGCACACCAACAGAGTTGGCCCAAAAAGTCTCTCCCACTAACTGCCCGGCCAGTCAGTCATGTCCTCATCCATCTTCAAGGAAGCTTGCCTGAAAGTGGCGTCTATGAACGTGGTAAAATTGAGCACGCCTGGCTTTGACAGAAGCGATGCCTGTGCCCACAACATTGCAGACCTACCGCTCAAGGATATGGATGGTGGCACGAAAATCAAGTCTGGGGTCGATGTTCTTGAGCAAGCGCCGGCTTGGGAAATGTTTGCTCCTGCTGCAAAGTCTGTCATACCCTTCAAGATGCAGTTGGTGGTCCGCCAGTCAATGCCTTCCACTTGCATCATCCTCAAGCACTTCATCTTTGAAAACAAGGTGCCGGTACGCATGTTCCGGGCCATGACTGTGGGGAAGCCAATGGCCTTGGAATTTGGCCAAAACTTCCGCAATGGACTCCTGGGTTTTCAGCTGCTGCTGGGCCAATGCGGGAATTGGCGCGCCCAGTACTTCCATTGTGAGCCGCGGCCGGCCAGGCGGTCTACTGTGAAGGACAAGAATGCTTTGCAGATCGGCTTTGATTTCATCAAGGAAGAGAGGCCGCGCACGAACATGTACAACCGTCAGACTGAGTGGACTGAAATGGAGATTCATCGAGAAGGTAGTCCCATCTTTGGCTGGAGCTCTGGCCTTGTGAAGGAGTCCTTGAGAGGGTATTCATCCTCGTGGTGCCCACCACGAACTTCTTCCTAACCCTCCACGATCTGAACGCGTGGTTCTTGCACGACATCCTGGCCCCACTTCTGAAGGACATCAAAACGAAGACCTTGGTGTTTATGGGCTTGGCTGAGAAGGGCAAAACCCCTGCAGCTCAAGCAATTGCAATGGCCGTTTCAGCGTACTACATCTTGAAGGAAGGCAATGGCGAAGACGAGGTGCCTTCATTTCGATTGTGCTCCAGCCTTGATCAATTGCGCGGAGAGCCGGGTGTTAAAACACGTCCGGATATCCTAGATGATGCAGATACCAGCTCCATTCCCATCCCAAAGCTCAAAGCCTTCCTTGACTCGAGCTTGATGGAATCCCACACGGTCGAGCGATGGACTACAAGTAAGTTTGTCTTGCACCAGCTGCGCATCATCTGCGACAACAAAGTCAACGAAGCAGCTGAGCCTGAGGTGTCTAACTTAGGTCAAGAGATTCCCTTCGGCTCCTTCCTGGACATGATTGCCCCAGCCTTCCCCGAGAAGGCTTCCAAGCAAGACATGCTTGCTCTGCTCAAGCGCGCGCATTGGGTAGTCAACATGCCCAGGGCGACCTACGTTCGTAAGGCTGGAGGAGGAGAAGGCCCAGTGCGCGCAGTCCCGTATGACCACGGCGTGATGGACTTTATCAGCGAGGAAGGCAAGCACGTCATTCGGGCGATGAAGGAAGGCAACACTTTGCCGCCCAATGATTGGCTGATGAAGCGGCAGTGGTCCCATGACTTCTTGTCCATGATCATTGACGCTGGCCGCGTCCCCCCTGCAACTGCTGTCATCCGTGGACGCGGTTTGTTCGATGATGTTCCAAATTGCCGAGAGGTGAAGCCCGCCTTGCCACCATCTGGTCGCCATTGTCTTCTTCACCATTCCTTTGAAAGCAAGCCTTCAAGCTCTAACACTTCCACAATTCGCGCAGCCGATCCCTTGCCACGTGTCGCAGTGAAGAAGGAGCGGTTCGACGAGGAGAAGCAGACTGCCTTCAAAAAGGCCAAGACATGGAGCGTGGAACTTAATGCTTCCAAGACATGCATTGACTTGACAGATGATGCGGACGAGCCCGCAGAGTTTGATCAAGAATATTTCGAGAAGGGTCTGGAGGCGGCTTTGGAGGAGAACCTTGACATGGACGTGGACGAGGATTACCTCGAACATGGAGCTGGGCTGGAAAGCCCTGATGAGTGAAGGCATGCGTATAATGTAGTCTGGCTTGTCACCCATTTTGTCAACATGAACAGGGTGTAGCTATGCCATCAACTCACAGCTCCAGCAAAAACGATACCCAAGTTAGCCTGCCTTGCTACATTTGCGCATTGAAGTTTCGAGTTGCTTGCTTTTTGTCAAGCATGCTTGCGTTGCATGGTTGTGCTTAATGAATTGCCGCAGCCCATGCGCAAGTGGATTTCCAACAGTGCCCGCCTGCCTTCCCGAAGATGTCCGTTCAGTTCAACCCGTTTCCTGACCCGAAGCGTGGCAAGGCTCGGGCGGCTATGAAGAGGCCAGCGGCAGCCAAGGACAAGGAGTGGAGCAGTGTTCCATATGTCCGCGGTGCTGAGGATGAAGCCGAACCTGCCCGGGCAGATCAATGTAAGTGGTCCAGATCCATATCGGAGCTGCTCACTTCGACGACCTCCGATCTGGTCGAGATCCTGCGCGAGGACGGTCTTCTGCCTTCGAGAAAAACAAAGTCTGTCCTCGATGTGAAAATGGCACATTGTCACCGTTGCGGCTCGACCCTGCGGAGCCTGATGAGATGCCCAAACACAGGTGCGATCGGCGGGGTTGTCAGGTCTACGTCAATCCGCACCACTTGCACCCAATCTTTGTGGAAGGGCGCGGCTCTGCAACTTCTTCCCTGCAGCAGCAAGCAGCCATGCTCCTCTTGCTTTTGAACAATGTACCTCATCCTGTTATCCATCGGCTCTTACACGCCAACCACAAGAGCATCGAGGACATGAGTCGTCGTCTACGTGATGCTCGGACTGGCTACGTGGAAGAGAAGGAGAAGAGCATTGTGCTGGGAGGTGAGAAGAACTGGGTAGACATTGAAGCGGATGAGACTACCTTTGCAAAGAAGATTGTGGCCGAGTTTGTCGAGGACAAGTCCAAGCCAGTGCTATATGCGGCGTTGTCCAGAGGGGCAAGCCAGAAACGTTGGTGCTGAAGCGCCTCAAGCCTGAGCTTTCGCAGCCACGCGCACCTGGCCCGGGAGCCATTCGAAAGGTGGAGTGGACTCCGATTGCGAACAAACTGCTGCGGGACAAGAATGTCATCCTGCACACGGACGCGGCCAAGTCGTATAAGGTGAAGGTCTCTGGGGTGCTTCACGACAAGGTCGTGCGCTCCAAGAAGCGCGTGAAGAAGAATGGGAAATGGAGTTGGAAGGCGCCTTGCTATGTGAAATTGGTGAAGCACAAGAACCCAAAGACGGGCAAACTCATGAAGGTGAAGGCTGGGACGCAGGTGATCGACCGTGCATGGCGGTACCTGAAAGACCGTATCACAATTTACCAGAATGCCACAGTTGGGTCCATTGTCCTACGATCCAAGATCAGGTCTGCCCAATACGAGTATTGGCTTCGGAACGAGGATTTGTGGCTGGCATCCGGTCAGTTGTGCGCATGGGTCATGACTAAGTTCATGAAAAGCCCATAGCAGAGTCCAAGGCGCAATGGGGCAGAAATAAGAACTCATGTGCTTCCATGTTGCCAGGAATCAAAAATACACGCGTCTGTTGCCATCTGCATGTCCAACCCAACACGCATCCTCACAATTGTCTCCTTGTCCATCTGTCCTTCCAAACCATCTGCTCCTGTCTGGCACTTCATTTAAATACACCTATTTACAAGGAAATTCAGTAAAATGTAGGTTTTGGGGGGGGATAGCACATATATATATATATATGATATAACAATATATTTTTACATAATATGTTTGTGGATGGGGGCCCAAGCGAAGTCAGTGCAGCGCGGAAAGGTGATTGTGAGGCCTTTAGAGAAGGAGCAAGGAGGCATGATTCTGCTCTCCAAAACGGCACAATCAAATGCGATCCAGATGAAACTCAGGAGGAAACGCATGATTGAATCCTCGCGGGTGCAAATTTGTCTTTTCCCTGCTCTTGTGACCAAGCTTCCAAGCTTGTTGCACTTGGCATTCCCCGACTGTTTCCATTTCTAGCCTCCTGAAGCCCAGGCAAATTGCCGAAAATTCGAAGTCAACGGCTTGGGATATGTGTCGCTTCCCTGTCCATTCCTCTTAGGGACTGCTTCAGATGTTGGACGGACTCCGGCCCAGGAACTGCGAGAACGCTTTCCGCCCGGGGCCCTGGCTCGCGGAGAGCCTCAGGATTGCAATGGCCTTGCGGACTTGAGTGCAGGGCTGAAGAAATGGAAGTACAGGCGCCACCATTCCAACAAATCTGCGAAAGGAAACACAAATCCAACAAATCCAACAAATCCAAATTTCAAGCGGATTAAGTCCCCCGACTCACGTGCAGAGCCCTCTAAGGCTTGCCACCGACGACACCTTGCTGGAGGCTGGCGTGGAGGCCGGGGCAGGGGGATGCTGGCTGTTCCAATCAAAAGGCTTAGACCGTTAGACCGTCGGACCCGTCTGAAAAGCTCAAAGGATGCTCGAAACCAGCTGGAGCGGCCGGTTGTGAGTGCTGGAAACTGCACGGGCTTTGAGCATCGGCACACATCATCGACAGAAAGTCCTGCCATTGCGCTCCAGCGCTCACGCATGCCTCGAGCGACCCGCTCGCCCCCCCGGCAGAACAATGCGGTCTTGAGAGCCAAGATCAGCCCGGCGGTCATCACGGCCTCCAAGGCGAGGGATGGCTTCGAGTTGACAAACTCAGTCGGGCTGTTTGCAAGTGTTGTAGTTTCAAGCACGTGAGATGATAGATGTCTAAGAGAAGTGTCTAAATTCACAGAGCACCCAGCCAGAGAGACTACCTCGAACACTGGTTTTTGGGAAGCTTTCCTGCGGCCTGCTTTGTGGGAGCAACCAGATGTTTGAAGCAATCAGGAAGCTGCGCTCTTGCCAACCAACTTGGATGCCCAGCAGACTGGCCCATGTCAATTTGCTCCAGTTAGTCAGTCATCTTTTGAGGCATGTTCAATTTGTCCCCAACCTCCGCTCATGGAGCTAATTTGCAATGACGCGCGGGCCACTCAGAATCGACGCATCATGCTTGTCTTCACATATGATGCGTGCGATTCTTTGCCGCAATTGCAGTGTCCCAAAACCCAGTTGGGCCATTCAGTGAACAAATCTAAACGGGGAGAACGACCTCCACCTGCGAGAGCGAACAGGTTTTGGGCTTTGCTCGAACGTTGTTTGGAGGTTTGAAAACAGGTCATTTGACTTGTTGTTCCTTGCGGGCCCTCGGTGGGGTGACAAATTCGAGCTGCCCTTCTTGTGTTTGCTGTTGGCATTGATGAAATCCTGGGACACAACGGTAAGAACCAAACACAGTGCACAGATCCTTCTTCGAGTTCGGGTTTCGAGCGCGCACTGTGCGCTCAAGTTGCGCAAGTTGCCAGGACTGTACGGCCCGCATTTGGAACGCTGAGCCTCTTGCCTCAATGGAGTTCGGCTTGAGCCTCGCACGCATGGAGCACCCAGGACGGGGAAATGTGAGCTGGTGCTGGAGGGTCACAGCGATGCGGTGTGTGCACTCCCCAGCTTCCACAACTGGACTGGAGTGAGAGATGCATATTGTCTGGTGCTCTTTTGCATGTGTGCGCCCGTAAGTTAGTTTGCTGAGATGGATGGACTAGAACCCGCTCTCAACTCGCGACTCGCGTGAGTCAAGTTTTCATCTTAGGCTCAGCGTGCATTTCTCCGGACTGCAGATACGCAGCTCGGCTCAGCAAGTGGCCGAGTGGCCGGGGCGGCCTGCCCGCTCACAGGTGGCCACCTCCTCAGAAGATGCCTCAGCCAGGCACTTGCCCGGGACGGAGTGGGCCCGGAACGGGACCGGCATCGAACTCAAGTTATCCTTCATGTTTTTCTTGGGCGACCCGGAGCACAGCACAAAACAGAACCGACATGGAGAATGCATGATTGCCAGGGTTTTCTCCTTTTCTCCTGTGTGGGTTAAGGGCAACACGACACGGTGAGCTTTCTCTGAGCCGAGCGCAGCCACTTTTTCGGAGAGGACTGACAGTAGCCCAGTGAATCCTCGCCCATGGGCGTGTGTGAGGGCAAGGAGGATGCCTTGGACACAGACTTCGTTCCGCTGGACACCAGACTGAGCGTGGACAATATGTTTCCGGAGTTCCTTGCTCAGATGTCTCAGCTGCTGCCTATTCAGGAGTTTTGGGACTCAACTGATCGACTCTCAGCCTGTTTCCGAGTTTTCTAAGGAGGGCATTCTTTTCAAAAAAAAAGAAACGTAAAAAAAGAAACACACGAAAAACACAACATCCCGAAATGATGCCGCACCCGTTTTCTAAAGAAACCCCTGTTCAGGACTTTGCTCGCCTGCGTGCAACTTGCCTGCGGCCCTCAAAGACAGAGGTGGCTTCGGCTCCAATTTGTAAGTTGTGTCACGCTCATGCAATTTAGTTAGTTGAAGCCTTCAGTGGAAGAATTGATCAGTGCATTTTATAGTTAGGGAAGTTTTGAGTGGAAGACTTCATTGGGTTTTTCTTATTTTTGCTCAGGCATTTCGGAAGTTCCGAGAGGTCGGCGAGAAGCAGTTGCTGTACTTGGCGAGGGCCGCCCGGCTGAGCCCATGCTCCGCAGAGCAGTTGGCGAATGGCCAGTTCCAGAGACCCCCGAGACCCCCAAAGAAGAGGCGCGAATTTTGCCCGGGATAGATCAGATTCAGATGGATCAGATGGATCAGATGGATTTGCTGGGACGGACAAGACGACTCGCTCGAGCAGTTTGAGCACCTCAAGCTCGGACATTGCGTAGCTGAGCGAGGAGTGCGCGAAAGTCTGAAGAGGAATTCCGGATGCAGAATCTGCTTCTCAAGAGGAAAAGCCGCCTGCCAACTCATTTAACGCGTGGCGCAGCAGTTCTGCAATTGTCACTGCGGGCGAGAGCCAAAAAAGAGGCTTTTGGCGTTCACATGCGCGGACCAACTTGTGGTATTGGTGAAGGCTGCTCAGGATAGATTTGCAGAGTGATGGGATGTGAGTTCAGGGTGTGGGGATGTATGGGGTGTTCTCACGTTTTGGCGATTCGCCAGGCTTTGGTACGTGGACAGCGGCAGGTGTGCTCGCGTGCTGTCCGGAACCGAGAACATTTCCGCAGGATCTTCTTGATTTCTGGGCTGTCCGAGTCCTTCATGAATCCGAGCCCACCTCAAAGAGGGATCCATTTCGAAAAAAATCAGCCGATGACTCCGCAAAAAGTAAAAGCCTCAAAGAGAGAGCAACGAGGCTGGATCATAAAGAAGCCGTCTATTCCACGGCATTCTCCCCAGACAGCAAGCAGGCGCCGGCGCTTTGTCTCGTACGTTTTTGCTCTTTTCACTCTTTGTTTCGTTTGCGCTTCTTGTCGTCTCGCTTCGTTTCTGCTTCACGTCCTTTCGTCTTGTTTGGTTCGGACTTCTTGTTTCGTCAGGTGGTGACTGCGTCAGAGGATGGCAGTGCCAAGATTTGGGTGGTGAAGTGGACTTCTCAGGAAAGCGCCACATTCGGCAGACTCGCGGATTTGTGGGCTCAGGACTGGCCTCTGCAAGCTTACCCTCAAAGGGCTGCTGGCTCAATCACCATGCGCACCATGCTCATGACCGAGTGGGACATTCCTTGCACCGAGGCATAACTTTGCAGTGCTGTGGGCGGCTTTCTCGCCAGACGGCAACGCGGCCAAAGTACTTTCGGTGGCAGACCTATGACCTGTCTCAGCTTCCTGAGGCAGGAGCGTGACGACCACGAGCAGTGATGGCACCTTGAAGATTTGGAATGCTGCGGCCTCAAGACCTGTGAAGTTGGCCAGATGGCTACAGAAGCAGAAGCGCCCTAAGGCAAAGACCGGAGTTTGTGCTTGGCCCCCAGCAAGGCAAGAGTGGACGTTGGCTAGGCCGGTTTGTTTAGCTTGAAAGAGAGCAAGGGCACTTGGCGTCACGAATTGAACACGCACATGCTTTTTTCGCCTTTGTGGGAAATCCCTTCTCGAATTAGTCCGAAGCTGAGGACCGGACTCTGCTCGGGCAGAAGCCGGTGTACTTGGCCTCCTTTGCGACAGATGGGAGCACCTTTGTCACAGCCAGCGGTGGCCTCGGGAGGTGCGGGCGGCATAGCCGGGCATCGGGCATGGGAGCCTGAGGCCTGGAACTCGTTTCATTCAGCTTACCCGGTGATGCCTTCGCGGTGGGTGGGAAATTCCGGATGTGCAGATATGGCTATGAATGTGTTTTGTTCAGCCCAACTCAGGACATCTCAATCTCATGACTCTTCAGGTGCTTTGTGGTCATGGTTTCCCAGAGCCCAGTCATCTTGGTTCCAAGGGAGTGGATACTGCAACCCGAACAATTTTGGCCCCAGACACAAGAAGCAAGAAGCAAGACGCACATCACACCTGGCCAAGGTGGTGATTCCACGGCCAAGATTTGCGATCTAGTGCCCGAACCTGAGCTGCTTCCGAGTGATTCCGAACACAGTGTTACGTCTTACCCCCTTCGAAACCAGCATGAACATGTTTTGAGGACTGGCGACTCCAAGATTGTGCTGCAAGGGCACGACGCGCTGGCAGCAACCTCGACATGCTTTCGGAAGCATCGCTTTGCCGGTCTTGGAAGGTCTTGGGCGCATCCTATGCGCCTTCCTGCCCGGCAGAGAAGGACGATGGCTAAGCCAGGCCGTCCCACGCCCAAAACTCCGCCTGACGACGATGCCCTGAGGTCCTCGGTAGGTCCTCGGTTTCACCCGAATTCGCAGGCGCTGTTCAGGCGTGCAGTGAAAGGATAATTCGGCGTCGCTCCCTGTGGGACGGTCGCTTTTGGATTTCTTATACATTACTCCCAAAGACGGCTTGTAGGCAGTGCCTTGCAGTGCAAGAGCATGTTTCACAGGACAAAAGCGCTGTCAGGCAAGCTCTGCATTGGTCTTGCTCGCATTTTACCAGGCCTTGCGCGCGCTCAGGCTGACAGGTTCGGCCAAAAAGGCCGCTAGTCTCCTTTCGGGCCAGAACAAGATTCTTTAGCCTTTCTAACAGTTTTCAGAAATCCTTGAGCAACAGTGACTCATAAGAACCAGCCTCATTCAGGACACCAAGACTTACAGCACAGCGAGCAGACACAATTCATGCATTGCAGGACAGCAACCCTAGCCTGTTTTCGGGCATTTTGGTCGAGCACATGGAAAGAAGCAAGGCCGGAGCCCATGAGTTTCTCGTTTAGTTTTATGCGCTCCGCGGGCTTTGTCGTATGGTGAAACATCTTTCGAGAAAGAGGCATGGTGAAGGTCCAGCCGCAGAGAATTGCTGTTCACCCAGCTCGTGTCGCCCGCCTCGCCGTTGCCCTGATGCAGCCTTGAGTTTCTCCTGCTGATCGGTCATTCCCACCTGCGAAATTGCCCCTTGTGTCCAGCGTGCACAATGCTGTGGCCGCCAAATGTGTTGCTTCGGGCGGGGGCTCAACTTTGCGCGACGCTGTTGTGTTCAGCCTTGCCGGGCTCGACAAAGGCATCTGAAACCCAAGAGTCTTAGCAGTCCGCGAAACAGCCTCCAACGATGCCCCCCCGCTTGCAAGGAGTTGCACAGGGGCCGCGCCGACTCACCGACTCGTGCCGACTCGTGCCGACTGCCGACTGCCGCGTGCCGCGCCTCGTGCCGCTTCGGCCAGGTGGCCCTGGCCGCGGCCGTGGGGGCGGTGGCCGGCGCCGCGGGCGCCGCGGCCGTGCTCCGTGCGAAGCGGACGGCCCCGAGCCAGGCGACCGCGACCCGGATGCCAGGGATGCCGTCGGGGCGTCGGGGCGTCGGGGCTGGGTTTCGTGAAGCTGGGAATGTGCGGGTCTTTGTTTCAGCCTTTTCAACCAAACCGAAGCCGATGAAAGTAAATATTTCGGCTCGCAGCAAGACTTGGGAAACTGGACCCGGACAAAGCCCAGCATTGGCTCTTGGTCTCAGACGGGTAAGCCCCTACCCACCAGTTGCGCCCACGCGCTCGACTCCAGGCGTTTCGGGAAGCGGAGGCAAAGCTTTTGGAGCAGCTGCGGGCGGTGCAGGTGGTGCCCGCCGGGTGCTCAAAGAGGCCCCGTCGCATCCCGTCGCCATGTCTCACTGATCAGCCACACAAATTCACGGTGTCCCATGTGTGGGTGTGGTGTTGAATATCGCTGTGCTGTCATTTTTTGGTTCATAACCTTCGACAAGCTAGTTGTTCATATCCTTGCTTCCCTGACTCATCGTCACTTATCTTGGCTTTCGGCGGTTTGCCAGATTCCAGCCATGTTCGATCATGATAAAATCTGATTGGTGGGAAGTGGCTTTTGGGTTGTCCCAACTGTTGGTATCATTGGAATCCCCAATCCCCTCAAACTTACCCGTTTTGGACAAAGCCCTGCTTTTGTGCTTGAGACTCAGGTCTTGTCCATTGAGGACGCTGCAAAGGCGTGGCAAGGGAGTCGGAGGCCGCTGTGGTTTTGCGGCTCAGGCTGCAGTTTTGGCAGATTCCCTTGTGGATGGGGGCTTCTCAGTGATCGAGGCGGGACTTTTGGGGCCACCCAACTCGAGGGATCGACCCAGGTCGTCTTTCGAGGAGCAGCCGCACAGTCTCTCAAGACGATGGCGAAGACGGGGGCCTTCGTAGGAGCTCACGCCTTGTGAGCCTTCGGTGGAAGATGCCTGGCTTTGTCTTGAAAGAGTTGAAAGGAGCCGGAACCGTGCTAACAGCGCAGCAGGCAGCAGAAGTCGCAGCCTCGTCCCTTTGCACTTGGGTCTTTGCGCTATGGCTGCGTTGTCCTCATTGATTCACTTGCCATTGGGTATCCTTGGGCAAGACTCTGAGGGTGCACCAGGTTGGGGTTGCACGATGTCGCACGCGTGCAGCCGCTTTGGCTCTGGCTCCAAACTTCGGCCAAGCTCGGACCGGCGCAAGCCGAGCCAATCATGAGCGGCGCGGGCAAGGGGCAGGGCGACTTGGACACGGTGGAGAGACTCGGCGCACTGTTCAATGGCTTTCCACCCTTGTGGCCTTTCTGTCCGTTGAGTCCCAATTCGCTGAGTCCCAGGCTACGCCACGCGAGCGGTGCGTCTGCTCAGGCAAGCGGGGGCACTGCAAGTCTTTGCCTTGCGCGAAGCGACCGCAGATTTACTTGTTCGGGGCGACGCTGACAAGCTACAAGACTCCGGACGGTGTGGAAAGACTCCAGCCTGCAACAAGCAAGCTACACAGCAGCAGGCCAGCACACTTGCCATGACCTAAGGAATATTTGTTTCGCCCGGAGCCATTTTTGATGGCAAGAAGGCGAGGGAAGATTGGGAAGAATCGAAGATTCGACCGGCATGTCTGCTGAATGTCTGCCAACGCAGGCGATCAGAGGCGGGGTGCCCTTGGTCTTTCCGCAGTTCGGCCAGCCAGACAAGGCGAGACTGGGCTCGCGTTGCTCCGAGGGGGTGTGCCCGGGGCCAATCGCCATGGCAGGCAATGGCTCAGCACGGCTTTGCGCGGAGCAGTCTTTGGGCCGTGGCATCCGTAGAGGACAAATGGCCAATTCGCACCAATTCAAGTCAAGCACGCAAGCAATATGTAATATGAAGATTTATGAAGATGAACTATGTCTGAAGTATGATTCTAAGTATGATGAAGGACAACAAAGAGGGGGCGCTTGGCTCAGTGCGAGAGAAGGTGTTTGAGCGCTTGTCCTGATGATCGCCAAGTCCACCGCAGTGCTGACTCTTTCCGACTCCGAGGCGCTTGTCGCGCATGTCGCGCATGTCGCGCATGTCGCGCATGTCGCGCATGTCGCGCATGTCGCGCATGTCGCTTGCGTGCAGCGTCGCACCATGCGCGGAAGCGTGGAACCGCGCCTTGAGGCCACGCGGGCAGTGTGGAACCACGCCTTCGCTTTGGAATTCACAGTCTCACTGACTGCAGCTTGCCACTCAGATGCCACTCAGAGGTGGATGGCAGACTGGCAAACTGGCAGACAGGACCCCGTGCAACATGACTTGTGAGAGTGAGGCCTCCTTGAAGATGACTCTGAAGATCAAGAACAGCGGAGATGTCCTGGCCTAACAGACCTTGGCATGCAGAACAATTTGGGCGTTTTGTCGCTGAGCCGCTAGGCGGGCTTCAGATTTCAGACGTTGCTCCACACCTACTTCCGGATCCCCGACATCGCCTCCGTTGGCCCGGCATGCGGCGATCCGTGCTCGGAGCCGGGAGCCATGTGCGAGCACCGTGCACTCGCCAGGTTGCCGTGCGAGGCCTTGGAGGGCGGATGTACTTGGACAAGGCAATCACCAAGCTTTCAACTTGCAAGCTCTCTCTTGGGTTGTTGCTATGTCGCAAACAAACTTGCAAGCAAGGTTCTTTTTCGTGGAAGCTATGTGCAGTTTAGTCGCCTTGCATCCTCTGGCCCAGTGAAAGCGATGTGGTTTGCATGCTTGCCAAAGTCTCCCATCAGTGCCTGCGGATCTGTGTTGACAGGGCACCTTCGTTCAGGTGCACGCGCCGCTTTGGTTCATCCCCCCTAACACGTGGTTTCTCCTCAACGTTCTATTTGGCTTGCATGGTTCGCAGCGTAAAGAAGTGGTACGCAAAGCAACACAAACTGTTGTACTGCATTAGGCCAGCACGTGCAATAATGAAACGCTGCTTGCCTGACTGGCCATGAGCCAGTCTGTGGGGACCCCGCCCTGGTACTTGTACCTCTCTTCAGCTCGTGTGCCCGGGAGCCTCACAAAGTGTTGACTTCCATAGGTTCCATCACAGGGGCAGCCCGACAGAAATTAGCCGTTTGGGCAAGCTTCGCAAAGCAACGAGAGGCCAAAGATGGCGCGAAGGCGGATCAAGTCTGTGGCTTATAATGCAGGAGCTCGTAGCTTTCTGTCTTTGTATTGAGGGCTTGCATTGCCGTGCACCGTGAGGAGTTATAAAGGTGCATTTTGCAAGTCACTCCTTTCAGTGGTTCTTCAGGTTGCAGATGTGGAACTGCCGGCCTTCACTGACAGAGTGTACGTTGGGGGCAAGGTGAGCATCCTGCATCTTGAGCCTGGCTGTTTTAATTCTCCCTCCCTTACAAACAGTTGCACCTGCTTGGAAGGACTTGGCTGGTGGCAACGCCGCAAAGGAGCGCAATTTGCCAGCTGCACTGGGTGTACGAATTTATCCCTATGTCTTGGTTGTTTCTGTCGTGTTTGTTTCTGGGCACAATTGTGCCCTTTGTCAGCCCTCAGAGATATTCCCACATGCACGCAGCACATGTGCACAAAACACGCACGTGAGCACGCACAGGCTGCGGGGAAGCAAGCAGCAAGCAAAAGCACAAACGAACAAGCAAGCAGGCAGGCAAGCAAGCAGGCAAGCAATCACACAATCACACAAACAAGAAGCAAACAAACAAAGAAGCAAACCAAGCAAGAACGCAAGCAAGCAAACAATTAAGGAAAAAACTAACACAACAAACAAGCGAGCAAGCAAAAAACAAAGAAAGAAGCAAAGAACAAACAATCAAACAAGCAGAGGTGCAAACCAGGAAGCAAGTAATCAAACAAAAACAATACACGAGCAAACAGACGAACAAACAAGCAGACAATCAAATATCGCTTTGCCTGGACATCAGCTTATGCGGTTGGAAGCAGCGGTGCTCACTTCTCCGTAGCTGGTCGCATCTCCTTCCTCATGAACGGCTCCATAGACACCAAGCTCCGAAGCTTTGCGCCTGCGGGGATTTGTTATCAACACTTAATCCACGTCAGAAGAATCAGAAGGGCATCTAGCACTCTGCGTATGCACCCTGTTGCGGAAAGAGTTTGCGTAGTCACACTTCCATGCCACGTGCGCACTTGCAGAGGCATTCACGCATGCATGCTTCCAAAGTATATTTAACGCTCGCATTGGGACAAAATCCTTGCTGCGTGGCGTATTCGCTTGGTGGAATGAACCTTGCGGAACGCGCGCGGAACGCGCTTGTGCTTGACAATCCCGCTGGAAGCCTGGCTGGGTGCCATCACCAAGGATTGGACACAAGCAGCTCTTCTGAATATGTCTTTGGGCGTGATCGCTTCGCTTGTCTATAGAAACACGGAAGCATGGTGAACTGCTTTTAGGAGTATCTAGGCACACCGAACACTCGACAGAAGCTTCTGTGCACAGGACGTGGCCATTGTGCACAAGGGATCTGCAGCCCGGGCCTCCGCAAAGCCCGGCGTTTTGAGACGGCATCCGAAGACCGAGGCACCCTGTGCGATTTCCAACGAAGGCTGTGTGAATGGAGCGCCGAAGCCCATTGAAATCGTGGTGTGCGCTGGCCCCGTTTTGAAACAGAATGTGCGCCGCCGCAGCTTCAGGGTGTTTAGCCAGGTGGAACCCCTACGAGGAGAAATCGCCTGGAGATTTGCCTCCTCCAGCATACAAGGACGGTTGGAAGAAACATATCCGGAGCTTTGATGCTGGGTCTGGAAAAAGGTTGTCAGCTCTTTGATGGCATCATGAGCGCAGGAGTTTGTTTGCGTGGAGCCTGGCTTGCTTGGACAGATGGGCGATGATTTTGTGGAGATGCATGTGGTGGCCTCAGCGGGGCGTTTCGGATTTCTTAAGTGGCTTGGCCTTTCTCAGGACTTGCCGGCAGGTGCTGAGGCCAGCATCTCCCAGAAGATCATCCCCATGTGAGTCGATCGGTTTGTCGCGCGGGTCTGTTTGAGCAGAGCCGCCGGTTTTCACTTCCGCGAAGAGCGGAGCAAAGCATTTAACTCGCAGATGCCTCGTGGCAAACACGGAGCGCCCGTCCCAAGAGCGAGCTGTTTCCTGCTTGTTTTCAAAGAGATTTGGGTTTTCTTCAGCCAAGTCATGCTGAATCAAGGCAGTCCGTGCGGGGGCGAAGTTCATTGTGACCTTGGGCTTGAACCCGGAGGTGCCTTGACGCTAGAGATGCCGTCTGAGTTTCATGGAACCTCGGGACCTAGCGCCATCGCCATGTTCCCCAGCGCAGGTGGTGGACTGGTGCCTGGATCATGGCATCCCAGAGCCTCGGTTGATCCCTCCGTCAGCTCAAACCCCCCGTAGCCTTTCAGCATCTTTCAGCCTTTGCCCCTTTCAGGTCTTTCAGGTCTTTCAGGTTTCTTGGGGCCTTGGGGCTGGTCATAGGTTTGCCTTCGCGACAAACTAAAGTGGCCCGTGAGATAAACCTTTTAAACATTGACATTAAGCGCAAATGTGTTTGGTTTGAGACATTGAAATCATTTGAAATCAGTGTGGCTGTAAACGCGGCTCTCAGTGCTGACCAAGCCGAGCAGGAAGAAACAGCACAAATCGAGTTATGCAGAAGATGCGCAGAACCAGAAGTGCATGCGCCTTTGGAGAATTGATAATGCTGAAGGTTGGCAAGGGACCGCGAAGGAAATGTCAAGCTTTCAGACTTCAAAACAAGACCAGGCGGCCAGAAGGCTCCGGACTGTTTGAATTACCTAACGACGCAGCGCCTGTAAATTGTCTCGTGCCCTCTCGGAAACATTGGGTTGTTTAATGGACGTGTCACGAAAACACCGGCTTTCCCTGAACAACGTCGTATTTTCAGAAGAATCGATACTTTCGGGCCATTCCCGGGCTTTCTTCTCTGAAAGAGAAGGCTTGTGTTGGGGTCATATGTTCAGGCATGCCACATGCATGACTGGTGAGTGCTGCATTGCCACATTGTCAATGACTATAGGGTGTACAAGGAGAAACGTAGATGCCATGCTGCGGGCCCTGCATCGTGAGTTTTTCGAATGCATGTGAAGCCTGTACTTGGCTTGTGTTTTTTGGGGTAAAAACAGGAAGCTTCCAGCGTTTCCTCTCGGGTTATGTGAACGGTTCTCGAGCGTGCCCTAGCTAGCTCCTTCAAGGATTGGAGAAGGATGTTTTTCTCAGACTGTGATTTGATGTGGCTTCACAACATTGTAACATGAGGTTGGCCAAGTATTTTATTGTTACAGAAGTAGTTGCGCTTGCACACTCCTGTCTTTTGAAAGCCTGTGTAAATCACTCGTTCCCAAAAAATGTGTTTCTTGGGGGTATGACATGTTTAGAGGTGTCTGGGTCTCCTGGTAGATCAGTTCAACAAGTCGGCCAAGCGTGGCGTTCAAGGTCATCCCCGGCGTGGCGTCGCCCACGGAGGTAGAGCAGGCTAGTAGGCGCGAGCGAGAGCTGAGTTGGTTGTCACAGCCAGCCCAATCAGAGCCTTTCAGTTAGGTTCAACCGTCTTCCTGAAAGATTCCTAAGTTGCTGGCATGATGTTGTTTCCTGACACTTCCAGTCTTTGGATTGTTTTGGTGACCTTCCAGTTTGTTTCAATAGCAGTCAACGGAGCTTGTTGCACCCGACGTTGGTGTTTTGCGGGCTTTTGGTGTGGGACGAGGGATGCTTCCCTCAGGAAGGGCCTCACGACGCTGAAATTCTTCCCAGCGGAGGTGCGGCAAGCCGCTTTGGGGGTGGCTCCAAATTAAACAGATGGGGTTGCGCAGGTGATAGTCTACTTTTCCATTTACCAGGGTTTCATTTTGGACCCCCATTTTTGAGCCACACCCACTTGAGAGCTGTCGCTCCTGAAGATGGAAACCCTTGAATAGCTTTGACAGGGAGCGTAGGCAACAACAACCGTAGAGGATGGATCTTGGTTTGTTGTGTGCCCAGCGGGCCAGCGGACGCAAATTCCGTTTAAGTGCGAGCGCTTCTACTGGCTGACAGCTTGCGGTCCTGCGGTGCGTCGCCTTCACGCGACGTTGGTGTTCTAGTTATTGATGAGTCTCTCAACAGCTGTTCTGATTAAACTAGCGACCGCAGCTTTAGGATAAACCTGCCATGATGCCACAATCTCATCCAGTGCTGTTCAGTTGAAAGGGGGTACATTCACTGGTCAAAATCATCCTAGTGTGTTCAGGGAGCGATGGCCACATCTCAACAGCTGGCCACCGCAAAGCATCCGACAACCTTCTACTTTTCTTTAGGCTTGGCAGTTGCCAGGCCAACGGCGGCCCGGCTGCGCTCAAGGCAACAGAATGAGTTTGAGAGCAGCGCTTGTCCACAAGCCACCGATGGCCGGCTTTTGGTTTACAGAGTGTCCTGTTGGTGTAACAGAATCGAAAGGATTGGTTGATTCAAGACTGAAGACGCCGTGTACAGACCAAATCGGAATGAGTTGTGGTATGACAAAAGCTCGCTGGATGTCCAATGGTGCTGAGCCGTTTGCGACAGCTCCAGGCGATTGCCGCGCCCTATCCTCATCTCCATTTTTACCCAACGGGCGGCATCACGGAAAAGAATCTGCAGGCTGGGAAGGTTTCGGCTCAACGTGTGCTGAACCATGTCCTTCTTTGCCAGGCCTATTTGCAAATCAAGCAGGCGCGGCCGCTTGTGGGAAGGTGCTGCCTTGGGTGCTTTGTCTTTCAGGTCATTGCCGTGGGAGGCAGTTGGATGCTTCCTCGGGCCGACACGCTTAGTTTGCTTCAAACGACTTCCCACTGGCTCGCACCCAGGATGCAGTGGCCTCTGGAAATATGGAGCTGCTCAAGACCCTCGCGCACAGCACTTTGCAGGAGAGGGACACTTGGGGTGTGGAGCTCACGGCCAGAAGCAGAGGTTTCGGGAAGTCTGTAGGGCCATAACTTCTAGCACGGCCAGTATTTGGGCAAGTGCGGCCCGCGGGCAAGCCGTAAGCTGTTTGTTCCCGAAACAGAGCTCGAAATGTTGATTTTTTGATGAGCTCCTTGTTGGGACCCAGAAGTGGAGTGCAGCGGGTTGCTGAATATGCTACTCCTGTCGGCAAATCGGGCAGTTGGCAGCCGCTGCCGGTGTGTTTTATGTCAGTCAGGGAATCTGTAAGCCCAGAAACTGTGCCGGCCCTTAGCATAAGCCAAGACCCTAAACCCCAAGCTGAGTTGACCGTAAGCCCAAACCCTAAACCAAAACCCCAAACCTGAAAGTGCCAAAGGCCTGGCCAGCTGGCGCGCACAAAGTGTCCATCCATGCCTGGCAACACAACAACCTGGCACCTTTCAGAGAAGAATCAGCGTTTGCCTCAAACAAATCATGCAAGGAACGTTAACGTTTTCGCACTGGAGCTGCCACAAGTTGCAATGCGCGCACTGCGTGCATAGAACAGTTGTGGTTGCGCATCGAGAATCCAATGCATTTGCATGCCATGCTTGCACTGAGCAGTTGCGAGCTTGGAGTCGCACGGAATGACAAAGCTCCGATTGTCGATCTTGGGACATTGGCTGTTTGATGCAATCGACGGCCGTTTTGAGTACCAGCTAAAGTCGAGTTCTTGGGGGTCGGCCGGTCTACCAAGCCGCCAAGCTGCAAGCCGCCGAGCCCGTCAGGTTGCTCGTGGCGGCGTGGGCCTGGCAATGGGAGCCAAGGCGCGAAAGCGCGAAGATCTTCTTGAGACATGGAAAAGCGACGAAAAAGACGCAAAAGAGAAACGGGAAAAGGAGAGCGAGATAGAGAGACAAACAAAATGGAGGAACAAGAACGTGAAAAGACGAAAGTCGCGCAGATCCTTGCCATGTCAGGTGGCCACGGCGTCCATCGATCAAAGCGCGCGGCTCTGGAGCATCAGCTCCGGGGAATGCCTCATGACCTTCACCGGCCACACGGACCAGGCGAATCCCAGGGACTTGAGCTGGGCACTTTGACAACGAGCTCTCATCATCTCATCCCACCAAACCCGGCAATTCGCAGCTCTTTTTTTTGTGCAGCTCATGGTGAGATTTGCCGACTGTTGTTTATTTTAGCTCATGGTGAGATTTGCCGACCCGGATCGCAATGCCGACCCGTTCGTTCTCATTCGATTTGTGGTTTGTTCTCGTTCGATTGGCAGGTGATGTGCGTGGCGTTCTCGCCGGACGGCCAGCTCCTGGCGACCGCCTCGACGGACAAGACGGCGAAGCTGTGGCTTTGCTCCAACGGCCAATGCGCCGCAACCTGCGCGCCGGCCTCAGGTTCCCAACAATTCAGACAAATGAAAACTGGAGGGGAGAGCCAAGTCAGGGATTTGATACAGGGATGGGCAGACGGGTTTTACAGACTTGGCGCAAGGTGGGCCATTCAGGCCCAGTCTACACCGCGTTCTTCTCACCAGATGGCCTCGTCCTAAGCAGGTGGCGGTTTTGTGGGTCACTGTCTCGTGAATGCCAGGATGCAATCTCCTGACCGCATCCCACGATCGAACCGCCAAGATTTGGGACACGACGATCCTTGCCTCAACAAAAGGCAACGCACTTTTAAATTGTCCTTTTCTCACGCCAGCTTTGGTGATTCTATGCAACGTGCACACATGTCTGTGCCATAGGGCAGCGTGTCATGAGTGGGGGCTTCGCCAAGTTTTCGCTTTCCATGAGCTTTTCTACTGAAACGGGTGGACATTTGGAGCCTCGCTTTGTGAGCTCTCATAGCTGGCATGCAAGGAGTGGCGCCTGCGAAAGGACATTGGGAAAGACGTGGCCCTAGCGCAGCCACATCAAGTCAAGACTCAAAGATGGTTCAAGAGATTCCGAGAGACGTTGACCATGAGACGCGCCGGTTGCTTCGGTTGTCCACCTTTTCGACCAGAGCTTGTAACGCCTCCAGTAGCTTGGCCACCGAGATTTGACCGGACAGTGCACAGCGCCGCGTACTCTCCGGACGGCAAGATGATCGCCACAGCGACAGATGACAGCGAGGCCACGGTTTTGATTGAGGCGTCAGGCGTCAAGCATCATAAATCATGGACATCCACTAGGAGTGGAATTATTCCGGGGCTTACCAGGGAAGCAAGGTGACCATGGCAGATTAACGAGCTGGAAACCAGCGCACGCACGCACTGGCGGCTGCATGTAACCTACGGATGGTGATCAACCATGTGAGCAGCGCTCAAAAACAAGCATGAAAGAAGTTACTGTTCGTGAACATTCCGGGCTCCTTCAGGTCATCATCTGGGATTCTGCCTCCCTGCAGGAGGCTGGTTCCTGGCTGCCTGACTGGGCCCCAATGTTCGTTCTCTCAGTTTATGCTCGCCAGGTGCGGAGAATCACTGGCCATGAGAAGAAGGCACAGAAGTTTGGCCAAGTCTCGATCATTCAAACTGGAAAGACTGCAGAGGTCTTCAGCGTGCAGTTTTCGCACGACGGTGGTCTTCTGCTGACAGCCTCCATGGATGGTTCTGCCAGGAGAAACGCCTTCGCTTGGGGTTTCCTTTCGCCCGCATTGCAATTCGGAGGATCACCGAGGTGCAGACGGGCAAGGAAAGGCTGGTGATCTCAGGCAAGATGGGCCATGCCGAACGTGGTGATTCGCCCACCCTACGAGTGCTTATGTGAGCAAGTCGAGCTGGGTTTGTTGGGATGAGAAACATGAAAGAAATGAAGGGAAATGAAGGGACATGAAGGGAGATGAAAGGAAATGAAGTGAAATGAGGGGAAATGAAGGGGGAAGGAGCCGAGGGATGGGATGGGCCCATGGCAATCCGCCGAAGGCCATGGCGATTGGCTGCGGTGCGCCGCCTTCTCCCCCGACAGCCTCAAGGCGCCGCAACTTCAGTGTTCTGGGTTGTGTACCTCGATGTACCTAGTTCCCAAGTCCGGACAGCGGAAAGCCGTGTTTTTGCACATCAGTTTGCATGGAGTCCTTCCGGAATTGCAGGGTTGTGCATTGGGCAACGAGAGGACATGGGATGCGAAAGCATCAGCTTTGGAGCTGTTGCTGTACATCTCTTTGTCCTTGACAGATGCCTTAATTTAAGAGGGATTGGAGGAATGCGGGTGTTTTTTCAAGGCTTTGGTAAAACGGTCGCCACTTTGCAAGAGGCCATATCACCTGAGCCACACCCCCCTCTGCGGTGCTTGGAGCTGGACCTTTGAGAAGCTGAGAGTTCTTGGCTCGAGACGGTTCTTCGTTCCCACAGAAACGGGGGAAGTGGCCAGGAAGCACGGGATGGAAATGAAGCGATTCGGCCATGTGCGGCTCTTGTGCAGGTGGTCACAGCATCAGGCGACGGCAAGGCCCGAGTCTGAGTTGCACCAGTGGCTGACTGAGAGCCCCCGGGATTAGGCTTCAAGTATAATACAATTGCCCAGTTTTGCCTGTCCGTCACATTGATAGGCACCATTACTATGGATGTTTCCCCCCCCAAATTGACCTTCATTCTCACCGCTCACCAAGCTCCATGCTTTGGGCCTACTGCAAATGGGAAGACACTCACGCAAATGTGGCTCGCTCGCCGACCCTCGCCGAAGTGGCAGGCCGATGTTTGTTCATGACTCGCATCCAATTCAGAGAGTCTCCTGTTCTTCCGGAAGGTCCAAGATGAAGGTGAGAAGACCAGCGTCCTACTAAGATACTAGTATCAAGGTCCCAACGAAGGTGTCCTGAACATGTTTTCTTGAGCATACTGGATGTGACACCAGAATTTTGGCTCTCAGATAAGCTCGAGCAAACTCACTCTGAGATGTATGTTCCTCCGACGCATTGGATCCTGTACCCTTAGCATGTTTGTGTGGATGCCTTGAATTTGAGGATTTTCTGAGATTGGAAGCCTTATGAGTTCCCTCGCACGCCTGGATCGACCTTTGGAATGAGTTCATTTGAGCCCCTCTCACATGTGAATGCCCGCGTAAGCAATGAACAGCCCTGGCAGCCCATCTGATACATCTCGCAAGCATTTTTTCCACAACGTTAAACAATATGTGATTAGCCATGGTTCATATCATCATCAGGGACGTCGCGGTAGTGACCGACCTGTGGTGTTTTGGCTCAAGTTTTGGATCCGGCGCGCCTCGGATGAGCGTCGCCGGGCCCTCACGTCGACCGCCTTCGTGTCGGAGGAGAAAGAGACTTCGGCCCGGGGTAGGTTGGTGGGGATCGCCCGTGCGGTTCATCGTCGATCTAGGTTGCGGGTATCCTTTTCTACTTTGGTTTATTTCCCTTTTGGTTGTTGTTCTCTGGTGTGTGGGATACCCTGATCTTTGGGACCGGGGATTGGTTTGCTTTTGGGGAACCTTTCTTTTGTGGCTTGTTTACCCCAACTTACCCATTGCCTGGGCACAGGCTCGTGCCCGAATCACAGGTTATCAGCCGTAGGACTTTCCTACGCGCTTGAGACCATCAACTACAAGCTCTATGTCGACCCCACGATCCCGAAGGAGCGTCGTGGATGAGGAGGCCATTTTAGGTGGCCTCCGTTCAGGTGAGGACCTACCGGACTTCGATTACGAAGACTTCGAAGCAGGTTCGACAGGTCAGGACCGCAGGGGTGAAGATCCCGGTAGGGACACACCCAGAAGCCGTGGCAGGTACACCGACGATGGAGACGATCGCATTTTCCGTCAGGCCACTGATGATGAGCAGGCACAAAGGGTTCGCTCCGATAGGAGCGGCTCTGAATCAGGTCACAAGCGCGGACAGTTCGACTTCATCAGCATGGCGATGAACATGGCCCGCCCTCATTCGGACGACCCGGAGGCCATGCCGACCCGACCCCCGAGATCTCTTGTTCCAGGTGAATCGCAGGTCTCGGATGAGTTTGAGGACAGGCCGCAAGGACCAGGAACTATGGTTTTGGCTCCGAGAGATATCTCGGGTCGATCCACTGGTTCTCAAAATCCAGGTCAGTTTGATGATCACGAGGAGCGGAAATTCACAGGTTTCGGATACGATGCTCTGTTGAAATCAGCCGCAGGCTGGGGCAGTAGCTCAAAGCAGGGATCTGATGCCGATAGGCCCAACCCTAATACTGCCAAGTCTGAATTTGATAATGGCAAAGATTACAATTTTGCGGATGAGGAGGAGGACCATTCGCGCCGAAATGCGGGAAACCGAGCTGCTGCAAGGCCTAGCCCTGCCGCTGCCAAGTTTGAGTTCAGTGATGATGATGGATATGCCGCATTTGCGGATCGTCGTGATGAGGAAGAGAACCAGTCACGCCGGAATGCAAGAATCCGTGCTGCTGCGAGGTCCAGGAGCCTCTCTCGTGGAGCTACCAGGGACCTTCGTGTTGACAGGGACGCCCGGAGCGAGAGAGAGAGAGCCAGAGATAGCCGGGAAGTTCTTCGGGGATTGGAGGCCATCCATGACCGGGAGGGACCGATAGGTCCCCCAGTGATTGGTGATACCCCAAATGTTCCCCCCTTTAATTCCCAATATTACATTTGGAGGTTCGTTGAATCAGAGAGACGAGAACTCGAACCAGGTTACTGGTTCGCCGAGAATCACTGAGCGGGCCGCCGATGTCGTTGGGATAGGTGTGAGAGATGGTCGGCTAGCCGATGCACTCGGAATCGAGGATCGTCCGTCGATCGCTAGCCCGTTAGGGCGAGATCCCAGTGACCTAGAAACACTAAGGTCTAGCAACGAGTTCACCCCTCAATGGGGATCGACTGCCAGGGAACGTAGTGCTTCTGCAAAGAGGCCGTCACCCCTGGCCATTGAGACCGATAGGTCAAAGGCGAGGAGGGCTAGCCCCTCACCAATGGGTTCAACTCCGCAGGATGAGGAGATGCCTGATCCTGCTGATGTACACATCCACTCTACTCCTGAGTCTCGTGCATCCAACGTTGATCCCCGATCTGGCGATAGCCGGAGAAGGGGATCTAACCCGAGTAGGCCCTCCAGGATTGAAGTTCAATTCATGACAAGTGGCCGCATTTGGCCTCCTCAAAACTGAGATTGTTGCACCTCTTGCTCTATAGGATATCGATGGGATTGGCTACAAATATCATTCTTTTGATGGGCGGTTCCAACCCATTTATTATGCACCTCTTTTGGATGAGCTGGCTCCTGTTGGTTTTTTCATGGGGGTTGGTTTTTCCTGTTAGGATGCGAGACCCCTTGTTTTGGTGGGGGTTCTCCTTCAGACTTATTCGCTGCCTTATTTTGATAATTATTATGAATGGCTCCCCCTGTTTTGAAAATAGTCTCCTTCTGTTAGGATGTAATGGTTCACATCGCGTAGGGCGGGGTTGGGCGGGGTTGGGCGGGAGGGGGGGTGGGCGGGGCTTTGCTTGTTTTGATGGGGGGGGCTCCCTGTTTTGGTGAAGGGCCTTAGGATGCTCCCTAATATTGCATAAATTCAGGGGCATCTTCCTCCTCCACCTGCCCTGTCCGCCGGCCACGCTTCTTGCCCGGGGCAAAGCTTCTTCGGCCTCCATGCGGAGGCAGAGGGGGCAGAGGGGCAGTTTGGGCTTGGGACCTGATTCAATATTGAAATGGCCACCCAGCAAACAAATACCCCTTGTTTTTGTTGGGGGGGGGGTCTCCTTTCTTCCTCTTTTTTGGGACTTCTCCTTTTTTTGGTGCCCAGTGCACCCCCTTACTTTGGCAGGGGGGGGTCTCCCTTTGTATGGATGCGGTGGCTCCATTTGGGGAGGGCCTCCTTCTGTTAGAATGCGATGGGTCTCCTTCGGTGGGGAGGACCTTTGGCAGCTGAAACTGCAAGCCTCCTTGGTCTGACAATGGCCGAGTAGTGAATATGAAGAAACCAGTTGCACCTGCACCAAGGCGCTGACAGCCCTGCTGGAAAAGGTGCACAGTGCGCGCATGTCTCAAATGCCCACTCATTATGCAATTCAATGTCGCCTTTTGTTGCACTCATGGCGCCCCCGCCATCACACTAAGAAAAGTCATCAAAAGCTCAGCATCCCTCGGCCATCCCCACCAAAGCAAAAGCAGTGGACCTCCTGGATCAATTACTTGCTGAGCAAAGTCACTTGACATGGACAGGTCCTTTGGCCAAATGACAGGGCACTGAGGCCCAGCGTGTCAATGTCGGCTCGCGAGGCAAACACTACTCAGAGCAGAACTTGTGTCTTGCATTTGGCAGCCATGAGCAGCGCACGCTCAGAACTCTCCATCCAGGCTTTGTTGGCGGCACTGCGGCGTTCAATGCCAGCTGGGAGGTCGGATGCCGCAATCCACTTCTGAATGAAAGCAACCTTGGATGTCATAGAATGGCTTGGGATGCAAGCATTGGCCTGGGATTGAAAGAAGAAGGGCCGTTCTCCAACACAGCTTGGATCAACACAGGGCCATGGGTACAAAACAATCAATCACACAATTCAGAAATGCATTGAATTGCTCAAAATGTTTTGAGAAACAACCCTGCCCAGCGACTGACAAACGCTTGTACCTGCAACTTGTACACCAAGCAGCCTTGCGGCTCATGACTGAACCATGAGCCGTATCAGGCGCTGGTGCTTCTGGGCTGACATGGCCATCACCATCCGAATCCTTAGAGTCAGTTGGTGCAGCTGCTTTGGGCACGCCTTTCTTGGCAAATTTCTGATGCCAATCCTCTGACTGCTGAATCTTGCGCTTGCGGCGCAGCTCTGTCACAACAGCCTTGCTGTAGGGGCTGAGTCCATTGCTTGATGTGCCCTTGGGAAATTTGAGCCCCATTTTGGCCCAATCCTCATGTTGCAGGCGCTCTTCCATTGACAGCTCCTCACCATCCTCATCGCGCGGCCTCCAGACCAGTGGCTGCTTCTTGGGGCATGACCTTCGCATCGCTGGCTATGACCTCTTTGGTGGCTTCCTGGGACATGACCTTCACATCGGTGGCCGCTTCCTGGGGCATGACCTTCACATCAGTGACTGCTTTGGCCTGGGCGTCCTTGCATGGGGAAGGAATGGGATCGCACCCTTGGTAGATCTCAGCCTCAGGCATGGCTTCTTGCGGATTGGGCCCGGTATCACCGCGTCCGGGCCCATGGGCTGAACTCCAAGGCCTGGCCAGCACGAGGTGGGAGCAAACTCTGACTCTGGTCGAGCCTGACGGGTGGCTGGAGGAGTCTCGAAGCCAGAGTCCTGCGCCATGCAGCAACTTAAGAAAACATGGCAACAGTACAAGGCGGCTAGTCCTCGGGTTGGACAGGCTCAGCTATGCTCCCAGGAATGACACGTGACACACGTTGGCAACCAGCTCCCACAGATGGCAGGACGGGTCGAAACTCGTGAGGTGTCTTCCACTCCACCTCATCATCACGCACCCAAACCACATCCATGATTG